TTTTCTTTCTTTTTTTTAATTTCTTTCTTCCTTTCTTTCTCTTTTTCTCTCTTTCTCTCTCTCTCTCTTTTTCCTTCCTTTTGTCTCTCTGTCCCTTTTTCCTTTTTTTCTTTCATCTCTCTCTCACTTTTTCTTTCTTTTTTTTAATTTCTTTCTTCCTTTCTTTCTCTTTCTCTTTCTCTCTCTGTGTGAGTCTGTCTGTCTGTCTGTCCGTCTGTGGTGGGTTTCAAAAAATTTTGGAACCTCTTCTGTAGGTGTGGCCTGCTTTCTGGTGGAACCTCTTCTAACCGGTTCGGTAGATTTGACGAACCATTTCTACCGAACTGGTGCGAACTGGTTAGGAACCCACCGCTGCACAAACCCCATTCCTTACTAGCACTGCTGACATTCCCTAGTAGGGTCAGGAAACATCTGCAAGAAAACCTCCAAACCCAGAGATTCCCCGAGGACCCCAAAACCCCTTACAGTAACTCCCAATAGCTAGATGTTCCTTGTTAATGAATCTGTCCGTATTAATTGAAGTTGAAGTCTTTGGACAGCGCTGGCTCTTCAGCTTTGAAATGGAGATGAGGCGGGACCGACTAGCACGTATGTGCGAGGGGAACCTTTACCTTAAAGGAACAGTTGTAAGTAGAGGGCAGGAGTGGGTTTCAACCGGTTCGCGGCGGTCCCCGCAAACCGGTTGGTCGGCGAACCCGGAAGTAAGTAACTTCCGGGAACGGCGAAGGGCCCACCCGGTCTTTGAAGGCTTCTGCGCTTCCATGCAGGTGCATGGCACATACAGTGCCTGCGCAATTCTTTGCAAGCAGCTGGAGCATCGCGCAGGCGCTAAGACACATGCGTGAACGGCGCGTGTGCACGAGGACGCCGCCGGCCCTGTTCCAACCGAACCGGTTGGAACGGGATAAGCAACCCACTATTGGTAGAGGGCTACATGGGTATTTTTGACTGGGAGATCACTCCGGATATTGTCCTCAACAAGGTTCTGGGTGGATTTAGCAAGATCCTCTCTGACCGTTCTTTGTGCCGGACGTGCGTCAGTGGGAGAGTCCCAATCCACCTGAAATTCTACTCTCTCCAACCTCTTGACCCCAAATCCTTTGAAACCTGTTTTGCAAACATCACCTGGCTGAGTGCCTGAGAAATTGCATAAAGGCAGCGTAGCATCTCAGTTATTTGAGGACACCAAAATGTCTCTCCCTGTAAAAATCCCAAGGGTCCTTCCCCCCCCCCCCGAATAGGCCTTCCAGGTATGATTCTGAAGCTGAGTCCCAAAGAGCCGAGGTGGCGCAGTGGTTAGGGTGCAGTACTGCAGGACACTTCAGCTGACTGTTATCTGCAGTTCGGCAGTTCAAATCTCACTGGCTCAAGGTTGACTCAGCCTTCCATCCTTCCGAGGTGGGTGAAAGGAGGACCCAGACTGTGGGGGCAATATGCTGACTCTGTAAACCGCTTAGAGAGGGCTGAAAGCCCTATGAAGCGGTATATAAGTCTAACTGCTATNAGACAGACAGACAGACAGACAGACAGACAGACAGACAGACAGACAGACAGACAGACAGACAGACAGACAATGGATGGATTGAGGGATCAATGGACGGATGATAGGAGAGAGAGAAGGAGGAAGCTGAGGAAGAGGCAAAGGCTGGACTTCCGTGTCCTGGGCCATCCCTTGGCACAGCCTTGCCTTGACGTAATCTCTTCTGCCAAGGCACCCAGGGGGCCGATCTGATCCGCAGCGCCTGGCAGGGATCCCACTCGGGAGAAAAGGTGCTTTTGATGGCTTGTGTACTTAAGCTTTTTCTGGCTAAACCAACGTCCCTTTGATCTGGGATTTCTTGACGTTGTTAAAGGGCAAAGGAGAAGAACACAATGGGGAGGGCTTGGCTCATCTCATCTTCACACACACACACACACACATTTGACACCCACCCACCCACCCACCCGGATCAAATAGAGGATTAGAGCAAGAATACATTGGGAAAGGTGTGGATGGGATCCAGGTGAGCCGGTCATTGTTTGCCTTTCCAAGGCAGCTCCTGCCAGGTGCAAAAAGCCCCCCCACCCCCCCGAGTTTGTTTTAGTGTTCTCCCACACCGGGAAGAAAGGGGAAAGGAAGAGGAAAGAGAAAAAGAACATGATGGAGATGACGGAGAAAGGAGGGGAAAGAAAGAGTGGAAGAGGGAGAAGGAGAAGGAGGAGAAGAGGAAGAGAAGGAGAAGAGAAGGAGGAGAAGGAGGCGATGAGAAGGAGAAGGAAAGAGGAGAAAAGTGAAGAAGAGGAGGAGGAGAAAAGGAGGAGGAGGAAAAGATGAGGAAAAGGAGAAGGGGAGAGGGAAAAAGTGAAGAAGAGGGCGTTGAAGTCCACAAGTCATAAAGTTGCGAAGTTTGAGGACCCCTGATCTAGCGCTTCATTGCTGGAGCCAGTTTCTTCTACTGGTTAAGGCACTAGTTTAGGAAGCAAGAGATCAGGAGTTCTAGTCCTGCCTTAGGCATGAAAGCCAGGTGGGTGACTTTGGGCCAATCACCCAGAAAAGGGGAATTATAGTTGCATCTTAGAGGCATGAAAACCAGTTGGGTGATTTTGGGCCAATCACCAGGGCAGGGAGTTTTAGTCCCTCTTTAGGAATCCTCCTCTTCATCCTTCCTCCTTCTTCTTCTCCTCCCCCTCCTCCTCCTCTCCACAAATTCCACTCCCTTCTAGCACTGATGATGTTCCCTAGTTGGGTCATGAAACAGCCAAGCTCAGAGAACACCAAGGATCCCTCAGTCTTCCTCCTGCTCCTCCCATTTTCCTTCTACGCCCTCCATTCCACAAACCCAGTGGTGGGTTTCAAAAGTTTTTCGAACCTACTCTGGGGGTGTGGCCTCCTTTGTGGGAGTGGCTTGCTGGCCATGTGCCCTGGTGGGAGTGGCTTGCTGGCCATGTGCCCNCATCTCAGATTGAAGATCCTGATGTGCTCCTACAGGAAGCCGTACGTGTGTCTGGCTCACTGACAGATATAGTAGTAGAAACTCAGCGTTGCAAGCACCTTGCTTACCTCATTGCGGACCAAGGGCAGCTACTGAGTCCTGGTGCTGCAGTAAACTTATCAAAGGTAAGTTTTTAAAGCCTTATGTGCTTCATAAATTTTAAATTATATATTGTTATGTTGTTGTTTTTAAATCTTTTGTCTGTATTCCCCTCCCCGGTTCGAGTTGTGAGCCGCCCTGAGTCCCCTTTGGGGGGAAAAGGGCAGCATATAAATTTAATAAATTGAATTGAATTGAAATTGAATTCATAAATTCAAAATATCCTTGACTTCCGCTTCCATTGTCTTCTATAGTAATGATGGTGGGTTTTATATACTCTGTGAAGAAATGCTGCCAGGCTCCTCAAATCTGCTATTTCAACTCTGTATCTCTCTTGTCACTTGCATTTCCTTCCCCACATCCATTTATTGAACATAATTTTCAAAATATACCTTACAATTCTAAACAAAGTGCAATTGCTCAGTAAAGGCTTTTTAAAATACTTTTCTCCCTTTTTATGCATTGCTTTTCCATTTTACTCAGATTGTGCGACGCAGAACACAGCGTAGGAAGTCTGGAATCACATCACTCCTTTTTGGTAATAAAACATTACATAATAAAATATTTAATTCCCTAGAAAGAACAGTTGAAAGTTGCTAGTGTCTTTGTACATTTTTTGCCAAACCATGTATTTGCTTTTAGCTAGGTTAAGCAGAATACTGCTTGTCCGTGAGTCCATCCTTAAAGGCAGCTCAGAAGTTGCAGCTAATGCAGAACATTGGAACTGTTAGAGCCTCAATAATATGTTTGAGGTCCTAAATGGTTAGGACCTTGATACTTGAAGAAATGCCTCCCCCAATAGGTATCTTCTCAAATACGAAGCTCTGCAGGAAGATCTCTTTTCAGCATCCCAGAATTGAAGAGATCATCTACAAAGAAAGAACTCTTTCCTGTTGTGGCATCTCAGCTTTGGAATTACAGATAGTTATCAGAATTGTTTCCTTTTCAGTGCAAGATAAAGACCCTAAGTTTTTACTTCTGCATTTGACATTTAACAGCTGCAGCAACGTGGCCATACCATATTTTCCCTTATAAAAATCTCTCCCTCTGTTGTTGTATTGAGGCTATGACTTGTTCAATTAATCTAAAATTGTGTTTATTTTTGCCTCATTTTATTGTTTTATCGTACATATTATATGGATGGTAACTCACCTGGGATTGTTAGAATTTTGGGCAAGCTAAATATATTTTAATATATAAAAAGTCAATCTAACAACCTATCAGTTGTTCTTGATTTACAGTAAATGAAATCATGTTCATTTGAACTTCTGTCAGTACTTGCAGTAAACCAAGTTTGCAGCTTCAGAGAAATTGTTTTTTACTTCTAGGAGAAGATGATGTGGAGGCACTGAAAGCCAAAAATATTAAGCAAACAGAGCTAGTTGAAGACTTACGTGAGGCCATCCTACAAGTGGCTCAGCATTTCCAGTGTGTGGATCCCAAGAGTTGCAGCATAGTGAGTGTGAAGTTATCCTCGTAGACACACCTATATATTCTGTTGATAACATAGCTACATTTATGTTTCCATTTTAACAGGTTTGTATGATTGTTATGGAGAAAATTAATCCTATGAGGTCACTAAGAGATGACACCAACTTGATAGCACATCAATAAATTTATTATACATACATTTATAAATCTATATAAATAGATTTGTATAGTATCAGAGTGGAAGACTATCGCTTATTGCTGTCCATCCTGCTTTCCAGGACTTGACTCCAGATTATACCATGGAAAGCCACCAGCGAGACCATGAAAGCTATGTTGCGTGTTCCCGTAACCAGCGGCGACGTGCCAAGGCTTTGCTGGATTTTGAGCGTCATGATGATGATGAACTAGGCTTCCGCAAGAATGATATCATCACGGTATGGTGGTCAGGAACAACACAATATGACCTTAGAGAGAAGGAAATTGAGGGGAAATATTACTATAATATTGTGTGAATAAGGAACAACAAATGTACTGAATTTATTTGTTTTATTTGTCCTAGACAAACAATAACCAAAAAAACACCCAAAATCATAATTACATATTTACATAAATGAGGGGTCCTTAGTAACTGTCTGAGCTTGGCTTTTTTCTTGCAGACATTTCATTACCCAAACTAAGTATTAGTGCTAGTAAGGAGTGGGGTTTCCTCTCAGTTTCTATTCTAGTAGTTTGCCCAGTCAGTGTTGGTGGGAGTGGTCTCGGAGGTTCTTTGGTTGGGCTGTTTACTATTAGCTTGTTTGACAGTTCTTTGTTTGGGCTATAGTTTACTTCTTGACTGTTGGTCTGATATTAATTTTGGAGTTAATCTATTCTCATCTGGGCATTGATTCCTGATGGGGATGTATTTTGATCTTTTTGCTCCCTTTTTGGCTTGTTGATTGTCTCTTTTGCACAGTATGTAGATATTGTTTATGTTTATGTGTCTATTGATGGCTAATTTGTGAGAGTGACAGCTTCTAGAAATAAAAATAGCATTTTTGGACTTGGTTTGGTCTGGAATGGTCCACTTTCCCAGTTGAAACAAATTAGGAATTAATAGACACATAGACATGAATCTCAGAATCTGCCATTTTCATTTTTCCTGAAACTCTTTGTTCTAGAGTATTATGGAGAATTTAAAAAGAAATAGGTAGCTGAATCTAAATTAGCCATTCTCCTCTTTATGGTCTTTTACAATTAAATACCAAAGTTGTGCCCAATTCATGACACTTGAATTCTCTTCTCCTCTCATTTCCTGTTCTTATTTGCCATTTATTCTGTCTTTCTCTGTGTAATTATTATTTTTCCTTTCCATTTCTGTAGATTATATCCCAGAAAGATGAACACTGTTGGGTGGGTGAGCTAAATGGCTTGAGAGGTGAGTGAAAATGGGACTTGTAAAGTGTTTTTTTTAAAAAAAAAAATACAAATTTTTAACTGGCTGAAGTTTTATCTTTTTACTGTTTTTTAAAAAAAACAGGTTGGTTTCCTGCAAAATTTGTAGAGATCCTGGATGAACGGAGCAAAGAGGTAATTTTACTAACATACCTTATGGCTGAATCTTGGTCAGTCTCTAGGGTCAACACATTCTATTATATTTTGGCCCAAATATATCTGATGCAAATCAATAGTATTCAAAAAGTAAGAAAACCAGAGAATTAATTAAAAATAATATAAGAACTAATTCAAAATTGGTAAGAAATATTTTAAGAATAACAAGTAAAAAGGCAAATAGTAGGAAATTATTTAGAAATACTGTAGCAGCCTCACTCATACACTTAACAAAATAACAGAGTTGAAGGGACTTTGGAGGTCTTCTAGTCCAACTTCATGCTCAAGTATGAGACCCTATGCCAATGGTATAAGTATACCATTCCACACAAGTGGCTCTCAAGTCTTTTCTTAAAAGCGTCCAGTAATGGAACACCCAGAACATCTGAAGGAAACCTTAGTCAGGTGATAGAACTTGCTGGCAATGCATTTGATCTCACTGCATTATCACAAGTGGTTAAAGTGTTGTATTGCAGACTACCTCTGCTGCCTGCCNCCCGATTGGGCTTATTATCCGGGGAGGTCTTATTTTCAGGGAAACGGTAGAAAGTATAAAATATAGACTTTCCTTATATTTAAAATGTGCATAGATTCTTTTAAAAATGCTTTGTGGGTGGGTGGCAATGATAACTTATTCCAATTGGCTTATACTTAGCTATGTGTCATGCCCCTGTTGGAGCCTGAATCTGAGGAGGAGGATGAGCCAGAGCTAGAACTGGCAGGAAACTGAGGGGGGTGCTTCATTCTCTTCGGAGGAATGTGGGGAAGAGCAGCCCAGGGCCCCTCAGGATTGGGACGGCTTGTTAGCAGGGAAGAACAAAGGCAAGCAGATCTCCTCCTCACATGAGGAGCGACAGAGCTCGGGCAATGAGCAAGGACCGCCCTTCCTCATCCTCAAGCAAGGAGAGTGGAGAGAAAGCAGGAACAGCGCAGGCCAACCTGACAACTCGGGAGGAGAGCACCCCAATCCTCTTCACAAAGCACACCTAGGGACTGAGATTTAAGGAGACGCTGTGGGGAGGAGCATTTGTCAGGAACAAACGCTGAATTGGTAGAGTTTGGTGTGCTGATACAGACATTTGGAGTTTGCAGGACTGCTTGCTTCTTCCTTACTTGTGGACTCAGTACCCTGTTCCTGACTTACTTGTGGGCTCATTGTTTGTTCCTTGGTTTGTGGACTCATTGTTTGTTCCTTGTTTCATGGACTCATTTCCCTGTTCCTTTGTTTTGCTGGACCAGAGGCTGTGCGTGTGCATTGCTCTGGTACTTGCCAAGAACATGGGAGCATTTGAGGGGACATTTGGAGCACTAAAGGGGAGTTTGAATTCTCAGCTGGCTGTGTGACTTTCATGCCTTGTCCCGGGTCATCATAGTTACACATATATATGTCTAAAGGATGTGCTGGGTCCATTTGTATTAAGTCAGGAAATTAATCTATTTTACATTAAATATGATTCAACAGTCAGTTTTTTTCCTCTTAATGAAATTGGGATGATTGTAATATAATGCAATAGTAATAGCTCCCACTACGGCCTTACTGCTTTCATGAATGAATTAGTATATAAATCAAATAAATGATGATTGCTAGGTTAGAAGAACAGTGATAAACAACCATAAAGATAAACAACCATAAAAACACTAGCAACATTTTTGATATGCAATATGTGCACGTAGAATTGATATCTAAAGAAGTTGGACAAGGAAAAGATGTTAGGTTTGGACCAGTGGAAGAACATTTTGAAATTTCCTTCAAATTCTTGATTTATCTATCTTAGAGAAAAAGATGGAATGTGGCGGAATACCCTTTGTACTCTTTGTACTTGTATGCTGGCTGGTGATTAAGAAAGAGGAAACCAGGTTGGAGAAGAGATCTGGAAGCAGTCACTGTTCATTTTGGATAACAGCAAGGCGTAAAAATATTGCATTTGACCACTGCATTAAGTGATAAATAGCATTTCTGTTCTTTTATTTTCCAGAAAGACGAATCTCTTGAAGAGCCAGAGATCCGATATGATGAATTTGGTTTCCGAGTTGGCAAAGAAGGCAAGTTCTTCATTTCTGAAAGGCTTGACTTGTGATCAGATCCCTCTCAGTTTCTCATTTAGAAGATTTTAATTCCCACTAACAGTATTTCACTTCTTTAAATGTATTCATTTTATTTAATATTTTGAAAGAATATCAATGAAAACCATATGTCAGACATTGATATAAAATAGATAAGTCCTATGTCATTTCTTGTTTAGGACTATACTTTAAAATGACTTTGAGTTTGAAGAAGAAAAATGCCATCTTTATGAAAATTACGAATTTGGGATCTTGTTAGTTATGAGAGGATACATATGTGTGCATGAATTTTGTTTGAAATGCACATAAGTGACAGCTAAAAAAGTATCAGATGCAACTTCTTCAAGCATATATCAGGATTTGTCCTACAAATGGGTTTTTTTTCGGAGGGGGAGGTCAGATTAATCTGATTCAGTATCTACATTTTCAAGAAAACTTTTTCCTTTTCCTTTCAGTTGAATTCATGGATGTACGTAAGCTTTATTAGAGACAGCTCACAGTTTTTTGCTTTTGAATTCCTACATCCTTGATTCATACAACTGTGAATTAGGAATTATCTCTGTGCCAAAGTTCAGTAACTTGTTCTCCAATTATCTTTTGGAATATCCAAATATTTAGAGGCTTGTTTATTTTTCTACTGTTATTTTTCCCCCACTGTTTGGATATACTACAGATAGTGTAGATCCACCCAGCAAACTTTTGGGGATCTCGCTGATTGAAGAGCCACAGCAGAGACTGAAATGGCAAGCCCATCTGGAGTTCACACACAATCATGATGTGGGAGACCTCACGTGGGATAAGATTGAAGTCACACTTCCGCATTCAGACAAGCTACGTTCTCTGGTTTTGGCCGGCATTCCTCACAGTATGAGGCCCCAGGTAAGACTACTCAAGAAAGAAAGCTTGTCTGTAAGAATCTCTGACTACATTCAACTCTTTTCCAACAATTTCCCCCCAGTTGTGGATGAGACTATCAGGTGCTCTACTGAAAAAGAGAAATTCAGAAATGTCTTACCGAGAAATTGTGAAAAACAGCTCCAATGATGAAACAATTGCTGCTAAACAGGTACTTTTCACTGTTAATGCTTTGGGGAATTAAATTGGTGACAATTCTGTTCTTACACAGAGCAAGGACTTAAACCATGTTGATCCCCGAGCTTCCTTTGATTAGTTTTCAGAGCTTTTCTGACCATGATTGCTGAAAATTGCCAGTATAGTTTAAATTGGCATACAATTAAAAATACAATTAAAAACAAATCAATGAAACTTCTCCAAACTACTCCCCCTCCCAATACCTCACCATATTGATGCTTTATCTAGTTCACAGTCCTCAGCGCTAAAAATGTTAAATATGTTACCGATTTCAGGCTTCAAGAAGTCAGCTCAATCACCTTTCCGGAAATGAGTGGAAAGTGTTTGCCAGCAGATTTACCTTTATAGAGAAAAGCTCAACTGTCACTGACTAAGTGCTTATCTTTGATTCTTGATATTCCTCAGATTGAAAAGGATTTACTCCGCACCATGCCCAGCAATGCCTGTTTCTCCAACATGAATAGCATCGGAGTACCACGGTTACGCAGAATATTACGTGGATTGGCTTGGTTATATCCTGAAATTGGGTACTGTCAAGGCACTGGCATGGTAAAATATTCTTTTTCATTATGAAATGTATTTGCTTTATGGCCATTTTCTTGTAAGGATCTGTTCACAGAAAGGTGAGAAGCAAATTCACTCTCAATACTGTTCTTGAACTAATTGTAGAGAATAGAATAGAATAGAATAGAATAGAATAGAATTCTTTATTGGCCAAGTATGATTGGACACACAAGGAATTTGTCTCCAGTGCATAAACTCACAGTGTCCATATAAACAGCAAATAATAGATCATAAAACATAGTCATAATCATTAATTATAAGTTACAAACAACAATGGATAAATCATAAGTAATCAATAGGAGAAGATAGTAGGGAAGATGAGAAAAGATGAAAAATGACACAGTCCTGTGGGAATTAAGTGTTCAACAGAGTGATGGTCCAGGGGAAAAACTACCTTTATGTCTAGTTTTTTGGCATGCAGTCCTCAATAGTGACATCCTGAGGGGAAAAGTTGAAATTGATCATGTCCAGAATATAAAAAATCCCAGAGAATCAAACTTTTACTCAATTTTTCTTAAATCCACTATATACCTAATTAGATTTTAAATTTGCTATTTAGATAATATGTGGGCTTCCATTTAGTGATACCTGTCAACTTAATCACATTGAGATTGTGGTGCAGAGTTGTGGGACTATACTTATGAGAATAAGTCTCTCCCTCTCCATCCATATCCCAGGTTTGGGAATCCTAACCTAATGCCACAACTTAGCTGTTCAAGCCTCCAAGATACAGGAGGCAAAATTATTAGAATTCTAATTTTCAAACACTTCCTTTCTATTCTGTCATTGAACATATAGTTAAGCAGAAATAATTCCTTTTTGTGATAACAAGTGCTTTAATGCTTACTTTTAGATCTTCTCTTCCTTTATGCTAGGTAGTGGCTTCCTTGCTTCTTTTCTTAGAAGAGGAAGATGCCTTCTGGATGATGTGTGCTATCATTGAAGATATGGTGCCAGCCTCCTACTTCAGTACCACCTTGATGGGGGTCCAGACTGATCAACGTGTCCTACGCCATCTCATTGTGCAATACCTGCCACAGCTGGACAAACTTCTTCAGGAACATGACATTGGTATGGACCTTTTTGTCTGATAATTTCTTTTAGTTTGATGAGATGGATACATGCCGAATAAAACTGGATTTTGAGAGTTTAAAGTGGGGCAGTTGCAGGGGTGGGTTTCTCGCCCCGTTCCAACCGGTTCGGTTGGAACGGGGCCGGTGGTGTCCTCGTGCACGTGCGTGGTGCATGCATGTGTACTAGCGTCTGCGCGATGCTCCAGCTGCTCCTGGACGATC